GTATCCAAGCGCAGTAATTTCAGCCTGGTCATTTGTGTTTGATTGATTGATTGATTGATTACATTTATATGCCGCCCTTTTCCCTGAAGGGGACTCAGGGCAGCTCATTTTTTTTTCATGAAAAAAGTGTGCCTTTGCACAAAAAAAGTTGAAAAACACTGAACTAGAACTCTGCTTAATGTATCCAAGCGCAGTAATTTCAGCCTGGTCATTTGTGTTTGATTGATTGATTGATTGATTACATTTATATGCCGCCCTTTTCCCTGAAGGGGACTCAGGGCAGCTCATTTTTTTTTCATTTCATCCCATAAGTGTTAAACAACCGATATAAAAATATATTTCATAAAATAATTTTAGTTGATCACATTGATCTAATAAATGCATTTGACTCTAAGGAAGGGGCCTCTGTGGCAGGGACATAAAGTGGGATGAAACCAGGGGTGAAATTCAGCAGGTTCTAACAGGTTCTGGAGAACCAGTAGCAGAAATTTTGAGTAGTTCGGAGAACCGGCAAATACTACATCTGGCTGGCCCCCGAGTGGGGTGGGAATGGAGATTTTGCAATACCCTTCCCCTGCCACGCCCAACAAGTCACGCTCGCAGAACTGGTAGTAAAAATTTTGAATTTCACCACTGAATGAAATTTCATGTCTTATAACTGCTGTAGGAGTGATCAATTCACTGCCTATGAGCTCTGTGTATCTTTGTCTAGGCAGTAATGTCATCTTCCTGTCCACTTCATCTTTGCAGCACATACGATCCCAAGAAGATGCAGTCAGTTATTGAGGAGGGGGAGCATTTTAAAACTTTTAAACCTTCAGTACACCTGTATTCATTTGCTTATTTATTTACCATTATTACTTTTACAAATATTGCAAGGCGGTGAACATATCCAACACACCTTCCTCCTCCTATTTTCCCCATAACAGCAGCCCTGTGAGAGAGCGCATAACAGACCCAAAGTCACCCACTGGCTTTCATGGAACTAGAACTCACGGACCCCCACTTTCTTGCTTGGTGCCGTAACCACTAAACCAAACTGGCTCTTTATAAACCTCTTTTTTTGGGGGGGGGGGAATCCCTTCTCTCAAAACAAAAATGCAATAACCACCACAAAAACTTCATTTCTCAATTACTTGTTTACAATATTTGTATTTTAGAGCACAAGTCTGGTTCACAATAAAAACTACACCATTACCCCTGCCTCTTCTTATAAAATTGTATCACTGCAATGCCCCCATTTCAGACACTAAGCTGGTACATTTGAGGAGTACATGTTCCCAGCAGCTGCAATCTTATCTGCCTCAGAGCACCATTCACCTCATGGAGGTTACGGATAATTGATGGGTTGGAACACATGCAGAGTCCTTCTCCCTATCATAAGCCACCTTTTCTTAGGACTAGTTAGAATTCAAGTTTCCCAGTTGGAGGATTTGACTTTCAAATGGGACTTAACATTGCAACTTCTCAGCCACCACATCAGATGTGCACTGGAAGATGTCATCACAGAAATAGCATTTCCTATAGCATAAGAGTAATTGTGGAGATCTGTATCCAACAGAGTGCGGAAAAGGCAGAGGGTGGATATATGCTTTTACCTTGAATCATCCTTCATTCAGAACTTCTCTTTGCCCTGAAGGGAAACATACCTGTAAAATGAGGGCATCCAATTTCTTGATTATCTTTTTAACCAGCTAATGGTTTTATATAAAGGACAAGGGACGCAGTGGCTCAGTGGCTAAGAGGCTGAGCTTGTCGATCAGAAAGGTCGGCAGCTCAGCGGTTCGAATCCCTAGTGCCACATAATGGAGTGAACTCCCGTTACTTGCCCCAGCTTCTGCCAACCTAGCAGTTCCAAAGCACGTAAAAATGCAAGTAGAAAAATAGGGACCATTTTGGTGGGGATGGTAACAGTGTTCCATGCGCCTTTGGCATTTAGTCATGCTGGCCACATGACCACGGAGATGTCTTCGGACAGCGCTGGCTCTTTGGCTTTGAAACAGAGATGAGCACCTCCCCCTAGAGTCAGGAATGACTAGTGCATATGTGTGAGAGGAACATTTACCTTTTATTCCACAAGGGTACAGAAGAAGGACCACTTCCCCACACCCTCTTCCACATTATAACTATGTAATAATTGCTTGATCAGGGAGAGTAGAAAAAATGGCAACAGCACTATGGACAAACAGATTGTTCTGAAATCCTCCAAGGAATTCATATATGTTGCCTCTCTTGTGGGTTGAAGATGATGATTTGAGGAGGAGTGAAACTTAGTTCAATCAGGCAGCATTATCTCCCCTGTTCATCAAATGCAAGAATTGTCATTTATGTTGCCGTGTATGCACAGAAAGAATAGAAGAGAATAAATTGTGGACTAGATTCTCCATATGTTACAAATTTATTGTTGGGCATTTGTTATTCCATGTCATTTTACCATTGCCATTTCCATTTCCTCCTCTTGCCCCAGTTTGAAGAAGGAATTGAAAACGAACAATGGCTTAGTCTGAATCTATTCCCTCCTATTGTTTGTAATGGACGAAAAGGACAAGAAAATTAAGAGCGATGGGAAACGGCAGAAAGACGCTAAGATTCCCTAATCTCACTTCTGTCCTGCCAACCTGCCACCAGTTCCAAAGATGGGATATCCTGTGAATTCAGGTTGGAATGTTCTCTCCTGATTCTTTGTTATTTTTAAAAAAATCAGACTTGAGTTTCAGATTCATTTTTCTATTATTCACTATCTAAATAAGTAAAACATGAGTGATGCAGCCTGAAAAGGTAGCTTTGCTACTGCAAAAAAAACTATATATAATGCCTAGTAATCCTACCTTCAAAAAGGATACTAGCATGTTATCAAGTAACTACTGAAAAGATTTATAAAATAGTATATATTCTACATGCAACAGAGTTATAAAGAACAAGTAACTATGCTTCTTTATAGACAGATTTTAAAGAACAAGAATAAAACTTGCTCCGGGAAGTCACAGATGTCATCTGCCTAAGATAAAGAATAGAAGGCTTGGGGTATGATAAAACTAACAATCCCATCGATTTCCGTATGAGGCAGCAAAACGTCTTGGGCTAGCTCTGTGCTGCTTCCAAATACTCAAGCCTAGTGGTTCTTTCAATATCACTGAAACAGGTTACAGAACACCAGACATACAGTGGGACCTCTGGTGCCGACCGTAATCCATTCCAGGATTTTGGTCAGCACCCAATTTGGTCATGATCAGAAGCAAGACTGACTGCACATGTGCACACACACACAAAAAGGCGCGGAAGGGAAAATCAATGCGGCTGTGTTTATTCGGCACCCGAGGATGTGTTTGTGACATGAGTGAAACATTTAGCAGATTTTTCCATGGGCACCCGAATTGTTCATGATCTGAGCTGTTTGGGACCCAACATCCCGCTGTACAAGTACTCCACATTTTGCAACCACAATTGAGCCTTGAAACAAGGTTGTTCAGCATAGTGGTTGCTAAATGAAATTGCCATTGTCCTCACAATATTACTTCAACTTTCCTGTGCTTTCACAGACCTGGGAAGGTCATCAATGTGAGGAGTGATTGCGAACTTTTTCATCACTGTGGTAACTGTGAATGGTTGCTAAATAAAGCACTTGCTAAATGAGGGATACCTGTATTTGATTCAGAATACTTGTATGGACCAGTAAACGCAACAGAGCTGGATAGCATCAGGTGAAGAGAAATATCTATAATAGTGCAAAGAACTTGCTTCTGAAGTTATTCTTTAGAACAATATTTAATATTTAAGCACGTCTTATTTCTTTTTGCTTATCAACTGCTCAGTTTAGTGAAACATTTTCATTATCCTTCCCAATGAATGCATTTTTGAGAAAAATTGTAAGTGCATGATCCTGATAAGGGCAGTCCCCTCCAAGATTCTTGCCTGTATCCTGATGCATTCTAACCTGTCAATCTAGCTTGGGGACTGCTTCACAGCGCCTGCTTCTTAACAAAAGAAATTTCATATGGGGCGCCAACAATCCCTTATGATAAAGATGGACATCATCATTGTGCTGGCTGATCAAATGAAACAGATTTATCTTTCTCCAACTGTCTCAATAAAGATCACAGAGCAGATTCCTAGCCACTTTTTATACATACATATAGCCTTTATACTAAGATGACAATTTTAATGGCTGAGACTAAAGTTCAACAGCTGCATATTTTCACATATGAAAAGCAAACTTGCCATATGTTAAGGACAGAGAGCAGAAAGTATCCAGCTTGAGTCAATCATCTACAACACCATTGTATAAAATGTTTCTTAGACAAATATCCAGTGTTTCCAAGAGCCACAGTTGATACAGGATGGATTATTTTCTCACTTGGAATCCAAAAATTTTATTACCGGAATCTTCTAAATATCTCCTGAGTTAATCAGAGCTACAGCATGTTCAGCAGAAGACAGACCAGTATACTATGTTAAAAAATATATAGGTGCCTGGAAATATTAACCTTGAATATTTGTCAATTGCATGAGTGTTCTGAATAATACGTAGGCTAACATGCTCTTTGAGCCCTTTCTTCTTTGATGAGTTAGACTCATCACTCATAGTCAAATGGATCACCATCTTCTCTTGTTTATCCTCCTCAGTTACTTCAGATACCATTTGATTTTTGGGATCACCTTCTGGGCTACCAGCATCCAACTCACTGTATATGCCATCTATTGTCATTCCTTTTGAAGAAATTCCACCCATGCATGGAAACTGCTAAAATAAAAAAAATAGAAAAGAAGGAAAATGTAAGTACAAAATGAATAAAACAGAAGACAAAGATTGCACTGCAGTTTCATGTGAAATTTAAGTACCCTTGTATTTGCAAGTTCTTTTAAACTTTGGTTGAATCCACAATCCACCGAACAGAATTCATAGAATGGAATGGTGGGATTATTTTTTTCACCATGTCTTATTCTATCTGCAGCCTGTACCTGCCTCCCAAGTCTTCTCTGCAGGTTTGGGAATTGGTTTGTGACAGTATAGAAGAAAAGGGGAAATGACCAGAATGGTCACCCGATATCCGTCTTCCACTCAGGACTGTTCTGTTAAAGCTAAACAATCAGCAGACTATGTTCTTCTACTCAACAGACAGATAACCATGAATATAACTTGTGATCTTTTATTTTTCAAAATTATTACTAAAACAGAATCTCAATATATGGGCTTACCATGTTACTGTACATGTAATGCCATCAGTGTTAACCAGAAAACGTAAAATGAAAATTAATTGTTGCATTAAGTGCAAAAAGAATTAATCTTGAATTTCTTAAGACATTTGGATTTGCATTTGAGTTACAATTGTTTAGAGAAAAAGCAACATATATATGTGTGTGTGTGTGTGTGTGTGTGTGTTTCCAAAACAGAACAGAGAAAACTTTGAATGATAGAGACAAAGATATTTCTAGATATTGTATTTATTTGTTCATTGAAGTGATAAAAATGGCTTCATCAGCGAAACATCCATATGCGTTTCATTTTATAGACTTCACCAGAATGCAGTTCTAATGGAAGAGTATCCATCTGGATTGCATGGTAAAAATCAGTGTTGTTGGGACCTTTTCTCCTCTTGAGGATTGGATCTGAGGTTTGAGATTTGTGTGAGGTCTTTTACCTACCATAAGATTCTCAAATGCTTTCTAGTCTGCAGTTCCTTGAACAACTAAAATTACCATTTTATTGGGAAAACTGGTTGTACATTAAGAAAAAAAATATTTCAAATATAAACTTGGCTTGTATCAGCTATTATGCAACTTATAACAATAACATCCACAGCACTAATAGGGTAACATATCATCTCATACAGATGACATCAAGCATCCTGAATTGGTACATTCTGTACATGGAAATTTGCTTTGCTTTCCTGTCAGTTTAGTCACAACTTCCTGGCCATTCATCAGCAGTGACTGAAATAAAACCAGGGAAATACAATATTGAATTTCCCCATTCTTAATCTCCAAAACTGTTTCTGCTAAAGTCCCAGACTTAACCAGTTCATTTCTTAGGAGTTTATTTGCCTCTGTTACTCCTATTGTCATAAAATTCCTACTTTTATAATATCTTCTCACATTTCACAGCTGGAATTCCTACACGCAGAGTCAACGGAGAAGCCAGCCATAAAATCACAAATTGGGCCCTAATGGATACTTTTATTAATGACCATGGTGTCAGGGTTCCAAGTAACAGACTCAATGCAATCAAATCTCTGAGGCATAGGTCATCCTCAAAGTACAGATTTATTAGGCATGTCATATTGGCAAATCTGGTGAAAACCCAACTCTGAAGGTCCAGTGGTTTTTCCCACCCAAATTAAATAAAAGTTCTTTCCCACAATCCACATGTCCATTGCACAGTCCAATCTGGTCACATCCCCAACTCCAGCTGATTCCAGTCCATGCCTCCCCAGCACCTAGTGAAAATGTCCTTGATTCTCAGGAGAAAGAATTTTATTTTGGCTACAAGTCCCTAGCTATATACACCTCCAGTTCCCACAGCTCAACCAATGTAGCTGTGGCAGCCCTGAAGATGCTCCCAAAATGGCTTCATGGTTGACACAAGGTAGAAATACAGTTTACAGTAGTGTTGTCTAATTTAACTACTGAATTGCTTAACAATGAGGTGGCTGGTCCCAATTGTGGCCATTAAGTGAGGACTGCCTGTATGTATATCAGAAATAGATGGTAAATATACAAATATTTGTTGGAGGTGCAAGAAAGAGGTTGGAACATATAAATACATGTGGTGGGATTGTGATAGTGCACAAAAATATGGGACATGATGTTTAGAGAAATTAGAGCACTGTTGAATGTAAATCTAGAGATGTCACCGAGGATTGCATTATTGATGCTGGTGGAAAAATGGGATATAAATAAAACAAAAAAAAAGTATTGTAAATTTGATAATAGCAGCTAGATTAGTGATGGCTAAATATTGGGGACAAAATTGGGATATTCAAAGAAATGAGTGGTATAATGAAATTTGGAGTATGGCAACAAATGATAAATTAACAACAGAAATTAAACTTAACAACAGAAATTAAACTTAACAACAGAAATTAAACTTGAAAAGGGATGATTAAAGTAAATAATTATAATGAAATATGAGGGGATTTTATAAAATCAGTGTTGGTGGAAGGCAAAGGGAATAAATCTACTCAAGAATATGTTGTTTTGGAGGGTATAAGGGCACAATTGGAATATATTGTGTATCTAAGAAATGTAAAGGGGGGGGAAAGGTCTCCAGGGAATGGGGGATGGACTGTAATATGTGTTTTTTCCTCTTTTCTTTTGTCTTTCTTTTTTCTTTTTGTATTCAGTTGTATATCTACTGTTTACATTATTTGAGCCTAAAAATTAAAAATAAGAAATTTCTACTATGGATTTCCCAATCTGGGTCAGCTGGGTTGGAGAAGGCTGTTCGAATATAGTCATAAACCCAGGCACATGGTAAGCATTTCTCACCTTTTCTTGCTCCTTCCGCTCTTGCGCTGTTGCCAGGTAGTTCACCGCTGCATATTCAATGACCGAGAGGAAGACAAACACAAAACTGACCCAGAGGTAAATGTCCACAGCCTTGATATAGGAAACGCCAGGCATGGAGGCGTTGACACCAGTGATGATGGTAGACATGGTCAGGACTATCGTGATTCCTGAAGAAGCCACATGGACAAAGATGTTATTAACACAAGCCAAGCAACAAGCTTATCTGAATCATGCCTAATAACCAGATACAGTTAATTTCAAAGGCTTTGTGGAAATGATAAAATGCAATAATCTTGACCTTATACTAAATAACTATCATCAGACAGTAACTACCACCCCTAGGCATTACCTGTTAAGTATCCAGTAACTGAGGCTTCTGAGATCCTCTAGGCCCTGTTGCTTGCCAGATTTTTATTTTGCAAAAATATCATTTATTGCTAACAAAAGGAGGGGGGGGGGAAATCATTGATATCTGCTTTACAAATGGTCACAAGACAGCAGTCTTGGCAGAGGAAGGAATAGTCATCCTGCTCAAATCATGGTTGGCACCTTTGGAAGTATATTATTATTATTATTTATTTTCATAACTATTGTTAATAATATGTATTTATAACAATTTTTCTCCCCTACAATTGACAATATAATTGAGATTGCTTTCTTACCATCCCATACACCCATCTTATTTTACAACAATCCTACTTCTCCTTCCTTCCTTCCTTCCCTCCTTTCTTCTCTCCTTCCCTCCTTCCTTCCCCCTTGGAAGGATATTAAATTTACATGCTTTCTTTTATAATCACTTTTAGAATGCTTGTTATGTATTTTTCAGCTATTAGAAACCTTTGGGTTAACAAGTTTGGAAGCCCCTGGGCAAGATTGCCTACCGTCCTTAACAAAAGGAAGTTTTAGCTACAGGTGGTCCTTCAGGTACAACAGGCTGTTTAACTGTTCAAAGTTACAAATGTACCCCGGAAGTGTATTTATAATAGGGGTTTAAAATTGCAACCAACAAGAGAACTGATATAGTCACTCCTGAAGCAGCAGCCATTTTTATACCTCTGACCCAAGGGTGAGTTCTGGCTGCCGCTACTACCAGTTCGCTCAGGGACATGCTGCGTGCACGTGTGCACTTGATGCGTGTACACATACAGTGCAACAAAATTGCTCTGTGCATGCGTAGAATGGGAAAACAAGATGGTAGTGCCCTCAGTGCCGCGGAGAGAATTGGTTCAGGGGCGTGGCAGGCCTTGGTCGCTGCCAGTTCCGGTGACCCAGGCTGTCAAGTCACTACTGGTTCGGCTGAACCAGTCTGAACCGATAGGAACCACCTCTGGTGTGACCTCCCTTTTTGGGATACAGAAGTTGCCGGTAGTTATGACACTATTTCCAAGGTCCATGTAGTCAAGCACATTTTTCCCCATCACATGACCAATCAAGATCAGGGACTTTGCAGCCAGCATGCTTCCCCTACCACCTTCTCATTGATACTACATAGAGGAGTGAGTCTCTCGTTACTACTCTTGTTGCTTCTTTTGTTGCCGTTGCCTTGTGGATTGGGGGATGAGTTGCCTTTGTGAATACTTTCCTTTTTCATTATAATAATGCACTTGTTTGTACATACTTTATAAAGGTTCCCCCTCCCCCCCACATTTCTTGGAATTGCTTGCGGAAATACTACCCAGCATCTACAGAAAGTAGATTGAGTAAAGTTCCTTTGTATACTATACTGTATTTGTTTGCACGTGTTTTGAGATTGCTTGCAGAAAGTTTCTTTTATTATTATTATTATTTATAATTTTATTTTTTTTCTTTGAAAAAGGTTTTTATTTTCCATTTTTTCATTTTCATACACTCACATATATACTGTACATAGCCAGAGCCATACAACATTAAACAATAATCGCAGCAATTCCTCTTGACAACAATACCCCCCAAAAAGCAACCCAATATACCTCTTCCACTCTCCGTACACCTCTTTCTTCCACCCCTCTCCAACTTTCTATCCTCCCTCCATCATCCTCCTCCTCTACCCTACTTCCCCTCCCCCTCTACCACCCCTCTCTCCCAACCCGCTCCCTCCCTTCCTTCTCACCCTCCCTCCCATCCTCTCTCCCGCCCTCTCTCCCCCTCTTTCTTCTATCCCACTCCTCCTCCCCTT